AGAATGGTCTTGATGCCCAATGACAGACTTGGAGTACTCCAACAGACAGCCATCTGATAGTCAAAATCTGTTCCTCAGGATGAATAAAGTAGATGATGTGTAATCTGTGAAGTTAATGCCAGATGGAATAGTTGAAGTGATTAACGGAAAACTATTTAAACACATGGGAAAAAAGAAGGGGTGGATTTACTAATCGGCTGACATGAAGGAGGGTGGGAGAACGCACAAATATATGATGAGGAGTGGAAGGAGGCCATTTGGCCCCTCAAGCCTGCTGTACATATGATAAGACCTGACCTGATACTGACCTCAACTCTACTTTCCCGACTTTATGAAAATATTGTGAAAATTATGAAACTTTTATGAAAATATTCAATGACCCTCTCTCCACAGCTCTCTGTGGAAGAGAATGTCACTCACTAACGGCCGGCCCTCTAACAAGTGCAGCCGGGGCTAATGACAGCCAAGTTGCCAGTGCCTCATAAATCATGATAAAAAGAATGAAATAAAAAAGAGTGAATAGGAAGTTATGCTTAGACAGTACCAGACTTGGATTGCAAGCGAGGTTAAATCAGGAAGAATGGAGGACTAAGAGACTACAGGCAAACTCTTAAGGGTCTGACCAATGAGGGCTTTGGCAATATATGATGCAAAATTGGAGAGAAGTCCGACAACTTTATCACAGTCCAGTTTTTATGTTTGAACTGGCATGACAAGTTTCTCACTGGGTGACAGTGAGATCAGAATTGCTGGAGATCGATGCTGGTTAAATACCTTGTTAACATCACAACTTGCCTCATTAATATTCAGACTCCCCCTCCCACAAACTCAAACAATATCAGAAAAACTTCACAATGAAATCAGACCAGGTGCCTGGCGAATTCAGCTCACTGCTTACTCCAAACGACTTTCATGCTGGACAGTGGGCAACAAAATCTCAGGGCATGATCAACAGGGAGCAGCCATATGTACTCCTCCCATCACGACCATCCTGGCATATCTATACACTGGCAGTGCGCACTGATAACACAGAATTAAATTGCAGGAAGCACAATCAACGAGCAATGAAAGGCTACAGCAGAGGCACTTTGTGCTTGGGGACAGGCACCCAGCTCAAAGACTGGACCAGCCTGGGTCTTAGGGCTGCTGTCTTGTTGTCTTGGCACTCACTCACTTAGTGACTATGTGTATGCTCATAGCATCCATAGACTGCACTTGCCAATTAGTGCAGTCACAAAAACAGGCAGCTTGCCTTGTGCTAAGCAGTCATTAGTTTAGGGGGTTCTTGCTACTGAGCAGTGTGCGACATCAACTTCACACCTCATCTTGTGCAGCAGTTTCTGCAGCAAACTCTCTGCATACAGTAAATGCAGGTTAGCCAGGACCTCCCCCCAAGGAACCAAAAAAACTTTTCACATCAGTGTGGTTTACTGCATCCGCTGCTCCCGATGTGGCCTCCTCTACATCGGTGAGTCCAAGTGGAGACTTGGAGACCGCTTTGTGGAGCACCTACACTCGATTCACGACAAACAACTGCACCTTCCAGTCGCAAACCACTTCAACTTCCCCTCCCACTCCTTTGACGACATGTCCATCCTGGGCCGCCTCCAGTGTCACAATGATGCCACCCGGAAACTGGAGGAACAGCACCTCATATTCCGCCTTGGGAGCCTACAAACCAATGGTCTCAATGTGGACTTTACCAGTTTCAAAATCTCCCCACACCCCAACCTCATCCCACGTCCAACCCTCCCTCTCATCCCTGCCTCGTTGACCTGACACAACCTGTCCATCTTCTCTCCCACCTATCCACCCCTCCCGCCTCACTGACCAATCCCCACCACTGCCTATCTGCACTCACTTATCACCATCCCACCTACATTCCCCAGCCCCACACTGCTACTTCTGATGCTGCCTGGCGCGCTGTGCTCCTCCAGCTCCACACTGTGTTATCTCTGATAGAATTGAATGTGATTAGGTGTCCAGTTAGCAATTTATTGTTCAGGACGTCCATGCCTCTGCAGTCCAAGGAGTGGATCACAGTCCATCTGTTGGCTCTGTAGTGGAAGCTCTAGTGGATAGGGCTAATGTGGTCAGGGAGATATACAGGCACTAAACAGGAGTCTGGGCACATCTTGCCCCGGGTGGTGAAGAGGGTGTGAGCCACATGACCATAATAACATCAAAAACACTTATGCAGAAACTGATGATGAAACAGCCTTTTTCACGATGCCCCCAAAGTGCCCTCAATAAGTTTCCTTCCTTGTGGCCTTCCCACTACGCCTCAGTGGCTGGGATGGAGGGAGCTTACTCTGATGTAGAGCCCATTGGTCCTGGAGGGTTGGTGGCCGACACTGAGATGCTTGTATCTCAGCCAGAGGCAAATTGACCCTCCCTGACTTGAACAGCCAAGGGGCTGGCAGGGGGCAGGTAGGGTGGAGGTGAACTGCCCAGTCACCTCTACAATCTCCTGAGAGGAAAGTACAGAGGGGCCAGTGTACGGTACCACCTCTGTCTGGGTGCCTCCAGGCACTGCCCCGTCTCCTTGAGAGGATGGGGCATCTGGACTGTTGGCCAGGTTCCCTGTCCCCCTGACCCCATGCCTTTGGTCCTGAGGGCTAATAGCTGGGATGATGAGAGTGTAGGCGTGTGCACCTCTCCAACAGACCCTGGAGGGACAGACGGTCCCAGTCAGACTGTCACATGACCGTCTGCACTGCCCCAGCTTCTGGCCAATGAGGGCCATTGTGTCCCACGTCCCTGCCTGCTGCTCATGCCCCTCCCTGTGCATGTGGGTGAAGTCCCTGATGGTCAACACCACAATCCTCTCCTGTCTGGGCCTGAGCAGGTGCCCGGTCTCTGACCATCCTCCCAGTGCCCAGCGACCTGGGCCACGTCTTCCTCATCATCTGTGGAACTCTCACTATGAGCCACTCACCAGATTGTGCTCCCACACTCTGTGTCTATGGCTCCCATCACAGTGTCAGTATCTGGGCTGGGAGAGGGTGCAGGAAGCAGCTTTGCTGATGCTTCCTCTGAGGCCTCGGTACTCTCATCCTGAGAAGTCCAGGAGGGAGCTGCAGGGGAAGCTGGGCGTTTTTCCATAAAGATCACGGGAAAACTAGCAGAATCTGCAGGTGTCGAGACCAGTGGATTGAAGAAGTGTGTAATGATTGAGAATGATAGTGGGTTATTGTGAGAGTTGCATCGGTTGGGGGACATCAGTCCCACAGGAGGGGTCCCAGACTTCTCTAGTGAGGGTCAGGATTCTCTCCTCAAGGTGGGGTGGTTTGAGCACACGTGTTGGGATATTCCTCTGCCCATACAGGCTCTCTCTGCTCTGTTGTGGGCTGTCTTCTCCTTTAATGAGCAAAAGGGGATCAATGAGTGAGATGGCAGTGGCTGCCACAGCTATTAGACCTGCTGCACATAGAGGAAACAGAGTGAGGTATTGCAAGGGTGTTGAGGAGGAAGCACACAAGGTTATGGTGTGGGAAGTTGGGGAAACCAAGTGAGGGAAGGCATTGCATGCAACAGTGAGAGTGGCAGAGTCTGGGTGGGAAGTGGGTGCAGTAGCAGAGAAAGGTTGGGCGTGAGGTGACAGACAGGAGTGTGGCAGAGTGGAGAAGGGACCTTCTTTCTGACAAAGCTGGTTTGGACCAGAATCTGATAGCACAACCTCCTTTGCCAGTCCTCCAGGAATAATACTCTTGTCCTGTGGACCACCCCCCTCAACTGGGGCCTCTAGGTCCCTGCCACTGAATTGCAGTACCATTTTCACCTTCTCCAGCATGTTCACAATCTGCCTGTCACTGACTCAGGACAGCTTCGGGAACCCAGTGCTGATGTGGGTACACAACAGCTTTTTAAAGATGGAGCAGGCACAAGGGGGGGCCAGTCTTTCAGTGTATGCCTGCCAAGTAGCAAGATGCTCCAGGAATGGCACACAGTAAGATGATTTGTAAATTGGATGTAAGAGATGCCATGGAGCCAGTGAAGCTAATTAATGCAGAACTTGGTAGAATAGAATTTGGTAAAAATTAGCCAAATAGTTCCATTTCACATTAACAATTAATTTATCTCCTTCAAATATTGATTCAGTTTCCCTTTAAAGGATACTACAGACTGAAGGAATTTGAACGTTGCTGAAAGCAGATGAGAAGTCAAAGCTTTTCGAATTGCACTCTCCAGGATTATTGGCAAGTAATTGACTTGAAAAAGAGACATCAGTTTTTTTACACATCTGATTTTTGCACCTTAATCCCATTAAGTGAAAATGGAAAGCTTTTAATCTCATTTCCTTTTAGCAATGCTTAAGTACTGTACATCCAAGCAACTTGTTTATACTTATTTATGGGGGAGGTGACAACCCAGTGGTATTATCACTGAACTATTAATCCAGCAACCTGGGTAACGTTCTGGGAATCCAGGATTAAATCCTGCAACAGCAGATAGAGGAATTTGAATTCAATAAATGTATGGAATGAAAAGTCTAATGATGACCATTGCCCTACAGCAATGTGGTTGACTCTTAACTGCCCTCTGGGCAAATAGGGATGAGCAATAAGTGCTGGTCTAGTCAGAGATAGCCTCCTCCTGAATGAATTAAACTGAAGGAGCAATAACTACAATAGTAGAGATCATTTTGGCAAGAAAAAGCTCATACAGAAAACAAAAAAGATCACCACAGATATTGAAGGGTAGACATGAAAAATGCCTGTCAAATATTGACCTTTCTTTATATCCTGACCAGGACTATGAGAGGTGTTAGAACAACCTCCCCAGTCATGGGAGAAAAATACCAGTCTTAGGCAAACTCGGTCTTTATGAGAAATTCTATTTCTGAAGATTCTTTCACATGAAGGAGGAAATCAAGCATCTGGAAGCACCTTCAGTGTGAATGGAGAAGATGTGGAAGTTCCAGTCACTGCCAGAAACCCAGGATGTGGCCCAATGTGTTGGATGGGAGTTACGCACGCTGTCTCCTCAGTCATACTTACATTGTTAGTGTGATTAGCTTGATAGATAACAATTGTATAAACACCTCTGTCCTTCAGTTCAACTTCTCCTTCAACATGAAGAAAATTTGGACCAACTCCAGAAAGCTGGAAAGAACACCTGAGGTAAAGGGACACATAAAACATAGTTACATCAGGGCTAAGGATTAATAACAGCCTGTCTGAAAGCAGTTCAAGGACTCTCACTGTACAATATTAGCAGCAATTCAGACAGAAATAAGGCTGCCTATTTGTGTGAGTTTGTTTATCTTTCATAATATGTGGATGTCTGAATGAACGTGTGTGAATTGTTTATGCTCATCTGTCTAATGATGCTGCATAACTACATGTTTTAATGTACTTTTCTGTATATATGTGTGTATGCCTATCTACTTACTGGATTTTTGTCTATTATGAAGAACTGCATGGAAAGTGTAACACAGGAACAGGCTGTTGGCCTAACCAGTCTACACTGTTCTTTGTCATAGAGTCATACAGCACTGAAACAGGCCCTTTGTCTATGCCGAACAGATTTCCTAAACTGAACTAGTCCCATTTGCTTGCGTTTAGCCCATGTCCCTCTAAACATTTCCTATCCTTGTATCTGTCCAAATGTCTTTTAAGTGTTGTAATTGTATCCGCCTCTACCACTTATTCTGACAGCTCATTCCCTATACGAACCACCTTCTGTGTGAAAAAGTTACCCTTCAGGTCCTTTTTAAATGTTTCCTCTCTCACCCTATACCTTTGCCCTCTACTTTTGGACTCTCCTACCCTGGGGTAAAGGCCTCGGCTATTCTCCTTATCTATGCCCCTTGTGATTTTATAAACCTCTATAAAGGTCATCTCTCAGCCTCCTACACACCAGGGAAAAATGTCTCAGCCTATACGGCCTCTCCTTATTAGTCAAACAAAATATATTTTTCAAACAGGAGTCAGCAGAACAATTAGAGCAATGAGCCAAATGCAGTAGGTCGAGTATATGGGGTATAAATTGAAAACTAGATGTGGGATTTATACCTCTTGGCTTCAATCATTTTGGTATTAAGGAAATATTACAATAAAGAGTGAATAGCCATTCATAAGAATATAGGAAATAGTCCTCTACACAGTCAAAAACCCCAGTCCTGAGTGCTCACCCTATCCTTTTCTCACCATCCAATCCTCTACCCCATTCTTAAATATTGACAAGGCCTCAACGGTGACACCTCTCCCACCTCCATGAGCTAACTAAAGGTAAATACATCCCTAAGTCAATACATTACTTGTGGGTTTCAAACTGAGCGACCCACCTCATAAGGGACAGAACATCCATGTGTCAATTTAAATCAGCCTCTTCCACAGTGAAATTATGATGTGACAGTTGTAGCATGAGTTCCCAAGGCCTCTGGAAAATGGAGGCTACAGCTGCAGGGTAAAGCAGGTAATTGCTTTTTAGGTAGAGAAGTCCTCCTGCGACAAGTTTCTCAAGGAAGCCTTCAGTGTCCCAGTTGGCCTTCATAAGTCTCTCTTCAGCCCCACCGATGTACGGTGATCTGCCTTGCCCCACCACTGCTCCTGACAAGCCCAGATCTCTCGCTCCTCTCTCAAGTGCTGGAGACTGTCTTGAGCTTCCCTGACAGTGTCCTCCTGCCAGGCTCACTCTGCAGCCAGGCAACCTACTAGTTGTCTAGCTGCAAGGCCTGAAACTGAAGTTTTTACAAAATCCAGCCATCCAATTCAACAGAATCCCTACTACTCCGGCCTTGCTGGGTTTTCCCAGCCAACTTTGGGGCCATGTAATTCTTCACCAATTTACTGCTTGGAAGTGGCCTGGTGGAAACCCACTCGTACCTCCATGCCTTTGTATTTGTATGTCTCTGTGTCAGTGGAGATTATGTACTTAACTTTGTAATTGGACTTCACAAGCTTCTAAATAGTGATTGATTAATTCAATCAATTAAGATCAAGGTTGTAAAGAAGTCTGCACTAATGAGGTTAAAAAAGAGTGACATCCTGGTCCCAGCGTGAACATACACCCCTAGGGTCAGTTTACATTTTTCAGAATTGCTAGGATAACATTCTGACAGAGCTAATGGACCTTGGGGGTCCTGGAAGTGCAATATGACAACCTTACAGATTATTCTCCAAAGATCATAGGAGCATATGAAATAGCCAGAAACAGAAGCTACTAAAACTAGCTCCACAACGGCTAGTATCTTCATTTCTATGTGGTTCTTTTCTGGTTTTTCCATCTGGGTAGGAGCAGGACTAGGTCATTCAGACCATTGCACAAGTGTCGCATTGACTCGGAATGCAAATTTGAAGAACACCTTATCTTCTGCTGGGCACCCTACAGCCTGGAGGACTCAACGTTGATTTCTCCAATTTCAATTAACCTTCCCATCCATCCCCCGGCTCCCTTTCCAGCCCCACCTCCTCCCTTTCATTCCACCTTCTGACCCTTCCTTCCAGCCACCAACTGGATTCATCCCTCCCATCGACCAACCAGGTCATACCTACTACCAGTGTCCACCTATCACCACCATTCCGCCTCCACCCCTACCCCCGCTTCTTTATCTGCAGCTCCCCCTACCCCCACATCCAGTCCTGAAGAAGGGTAATACCCAAAACGTTGACTGCTCTTTCCTCCGGATGCTGCCTGGCCTGCTGTGTTCTTCCAGCCTCCTGTTTGTCTACCTTGGATTCCAGCATTTGCAGTTTTTATTGTCTCTAACCATTGTACATTTCTTACCTGCCAAGTTTAATAGGTGTGTACAGTGATGGGACAAATGGTCTCACATCCAGATCTGTAACACTGTTCGGTTCACATGTCAGCCTCAGAGATTTGTTGCTGCTGGTGTCTGGTACTTCCAGCACGGGAAAGATCCTGCAGATGATACAATCTGTTGATGCACAACACTTCATAATCCGAGCAATCATTCGGATCTAATTAACAGGTCATGAACTAGTTACCTCTAAAGCTGCTGCCTACTACATCAGACATCCTGAAGGTACATTAATTTACCAACTATATTCACCCGGGGGCTTATTCGCTATAATCCCAGCCATATTGTGCAATCATCAGCAAACATCTCCACTTCATAATGGAAGGAATGTCATTGATGAAGCAGCTGAAGATGGTTGGGCCGAGGACACTACCCTGAGGTTGCTGGCTCTTGTGCTGCAGTCGTATTACTCCAACCTCTGAGTTAAGAGGCCTGGGCTCAAATCTCACCTGCTTCAAAAGTATGTAATAATGTTCTGAACAGGTTGATTAGATACTATCTACCCTGAGGGTGTGGCCTCTTGTGGTAGTATAGTTGAGCCAGGAGACCTGGCTTCAAGTCCTACCTTCTCCACAGGTGTGGCTGAACAGTTTTAATTTAAAATAATTACCTTGATAAACTCCTGCAGCAATGACCTAGAACTCAGATGATGCAGTTTAATATCTAATTGCTCCAGTATATCCAGCCTCCCTGCGCTTTATAGTCCAATCACTTCAGCACTTTGCACTAATGTGCAATTCCAAGCTGGATGTAGATATTGTCTCTATACATGCAGAAACCCTCTACAATGCCTCAATTGTACCTATTCATGGAGATGCCCTCTACAAACCCCCAGTACATGCAGATCTCTTCTGCAGTGACCATCAACAGCGAGCAATACATCCAAGTTCAGAAAATCACATACCGTACCAGAGCTGAATTATCCAAAACCTTCAAATTGTTGTCAGGAATCTGGAGGAATAACAATAATTACAAATATTGCTATAATAACAGGATTGAAAATCCATGGTTACTTGGGCATCTTTAAAAGTTCTGCCCATTACCATTAGGGATTCAGAAAGAACAACTGTCACTTTCAAATATTTCTGAATCAGTTTCAGCACAAGGTCAATAGAAAGCAAATTTCACTCTGTGCTGCCCTCAAACTGGACTCCCAGGACAGGGACTACATGAGGTCAGATATAGAGTAAAACTCCTCTACACTGTCTCTATCAAATATCCCAGGACAGGGACAGCACGGGCTTGGGTATAAAGTAAAGCTCCCTCTACAATTCCCACCAAACACACCCACGATAGGTATAGCATGGGGTTAGACACGTAGAAAACTCTTGACTGACTCTTACTTAAACTGACTCTTAAATCCCCCGGAAATGGCCTGGCAAGCCCCCAAGTTCTATTAAATCACATCAAAGGATTGAAACCAGAGGGGTCATCCAGCATTGATCTAGGCACTGGAAACAAGAATGACAAATCCAGCTGTGTCAGCCCTGTAAAGTCTCCTCACTAACATCTGGGGAGATTGGGGGAAGCAGTCCCACAGATGAGTCAAGGCACTGCTTGACACAGTAATACTCACTGAATCAGAACTTGGAGACAAGGTGATTAGATGATGAAGGAGGTAAGGGAACAGAGCAAAGAATTTCAATGCCCATCACCAAAACTGGTTAGGTTCCATCATTATTGACTGAGCTGGCTGAGTCCTTCATTCACTGTTGCCAGTTTGGGTCTGTGGCATATAGTTAAGGAACCAACAAAATGGAAAAACCTGTTTTTATTTGATCCACATACCTGCTGCAGATGTACCTGTCCATTGTAGCTCTGGTGGGAGTGGTCACTGTGCATCCCTTGTCCTAAGTTCACATTAAAACCACCCTCTATCATATTGTGTGGCACTGCTAACTGTGATCCTCTCATTCAGGATGCACCATGAGCTATCAGCAGCAAAAATGCAACTTCACAGTCCAGCATATCCCTTATACCCTAAACTACCATCAAGCCAGGGGAAGCCCGGTTCAGTGAAGGGTGCAGGAGGGCATGCCAGGAACACCCCCAGGCATATCTAAAAGATGAGAGCTCAAACTGATGGAGCTGCAACTCAGGACTACCTGCTTGCAAAACAGCGTAAGTAGCAAGTGATAATCAGGGCTAAGTGATCTCACAAACAATGGATCAGATCTAAGCTCTGCAGAGCTTCCACATCAAGTTGTGAGTGGAATTGGAGACTTAAACAATTGACAGAAGAAAGAGGCTCCACTATGGTCCCTATACTCAATGATGGTGGAGCCCAGCACATTAGTGTAAAACATGGCTGTAGCAATCATACTCAGCCAAAAATGCTGAGTAGCTGATTCATCTCAGTCTTCCTCTGAGGTCCTCAGAATCACAGATGCCAGTCTTCAGCCAACCCAATTCACTCCACGTAACATTAAGAAATGGATGAAGGCACTGGATACTGCAAAGACTTTGGGCCCTGACAACATTCTAGTAATAGTACTGAAGACTTGTGCTCTAGAACAAGCTGAGCCCCTAGTCAAGCAGCCAGTACAACTATAATGTGGAAAAAGAAATCTGACTTGGAAATTGCTGATATAAAACAAAGAACTGCAGATGCTGATGATGTGAAACAACAAGGGGAAATTACTGAAGAAACTCAGCATCTGTGGAAAGAAAACAGAGTTATCTTTTTGAGTCCAGTGACCTTCAAGAAGAGTCACTGGATTCTAAAGACTAACTCTAGAAATTACTATACCACAGAATCACTACAGTGCGGAAGCAGGCCATTCAGCCCATCAACTCCACACCTATCCTCCCACCCAGACCCACTACCCTCCCCATACCCATGGCCAAACCACCTATCCTGCACACCTTTGGACTGTGGGAAAGAACTGGAGCACCCAGAGGAAACCCACACAGACACAGGGAGAATATGCAGTGTCTACATAGACAGTCACCTGAGGGGTGGATTTGAACCCAGGTCCCTGGCACTGTGAGGCAGCAGTGCTAGCCACTGAGCCACCATGCCACAGGTCTGCTTTTGATCATCAGTAATGTAATGGAAGGGAGCTCAGCAAAAGTACAGTCAATGGGAACCAGGGGAAAACTCTTCACTGGTTGGAGTCATACAAAGAGGATGGTTGTAATTTTCAGGTGAATAACCTAAGTCTCGGGACGTCACTGAGGAGTTCCTCAGGGCAGCGTCCTAGGCCCAACCATCTACAACTGTATCATGAATGACTGTCTCACTATCGTAAGAGCAGAATTGGGGATGTTTGCTGCCAAATGCACAATATTCAGTGCCATCCATGAATCTTCAGATACAGCAAGACAGAGTCAGTCTTGTGTGACAAGTAACATTTGTGTCACACATACCAGGCAATGACCATCTCTAACATGAGAGAATTAAACCGTCTTCTTTTGATATTTTTCACAATGATTTAAAATATCATCTGTGGACTTTGAACAATTTCATCACCCTGATTTTAATTCCCTGGAACTTTCAGGGAATGAAATAGTTGGGACCAAAAACAATGAGTTTGAATGCCCAAAGGGATCTCTGGACACACCAAGGTTGGCCACGTTTCATGAAACCAACATGGATTAAACTAAGGATAGTCTGAGCTAAAATTAATTTCCCCAAAGGTAATGAAGCCAGCCCGGCATCTCCATAGGAGCATGTATGTCCTTATTTCCTATTGATTTACACCATTCTGAGAATCTTCACACATTGGAGATGATACATTGCCTGTAATTGTCAAAGCTGGACACAATAACAGCAACACACAGGAAATTTACGAGCAGTTTGTATTTCAAGGTGTTTCATGGCACACCAAGATGAAACAAATTATTGACTGCAGTACAGAACACAGTTTGGCAGAGGCTCTCTCTCTCTCTCTCTGTCTTTCAACAAAAAAAAAATGCCTGGTGATACCACTGAGAACAGAACTTAAAAGACAACTGCAATATTTGCTGTAGCTGACAGTCGAAGAAATCAACTAACCAATTGTGGTCTCAGGTGAGAACTGCATGTGTCAAGGATAACCAGAAGGTCTCTAATCTGTAAATTCTTTCATCTTCTTGTGTGCCAGCTATATCCCTTGAAATTTTGTCTTTGTATGTCTATATGAGCGCCTACGTGACTCACAAAGACTGCACACTTGACATTACACATTCATTGCAGATATTTTCTTAGGGTTAGCAGGAAATAAACATGTTCTTCCTTTAAATCAAGAAAGCCTTGTGATTGCTTCCTTCCTGCTGCAGTAATAATTAGTTCACTACATTTAGCCTGAAAGCAGCATAGTCTCCCGCTGAAAAGAACTTAAACCTTTCTTACAATCCAAGAAGGCTGAAAAGATGGCGGTCAGTTCAATGTTTCTCACCTGGTTATAAAGCACTCAGTGGCATGAGCATTACTGACCACCCCCAAACTAACATCAGAATTGTACTAGCCTCACAAATACTGTGGCTGCAATTTGAGGAGACAGTGGCATAGTGGTAATGTCACTGGATTAGTCCTCCAGTGGCCCAAGCTAATGCTATGTGGAAAAAGATTTAAGTCCCACCATGGTAAGTAGTGGAATTGACATTACATTAGTCAATCTGGAATATAAAGTTAGCCTCAGTAATAGTCTCATTAGTTACTGTAAAAATCCACCTGGATTTCTACCCACCTGTTTCAAAAAAAATGTAGATGTGCAAAAGGACTCAGGTATCCTTGTCAATAAGTCACAGATGGCTAAAATGCAGGTTCAACATGCTATTAGGAAGGCTAGTGGAAAGTTAGCTTTTACTGGAAGAGGATTTGTGTTCAGGAGTAATGAAGTTGTGTCTCAATTGTAGAGGATCTTGGTTAGACTGCACCTGGAGAACTGTGTACAATTTTGGTCTCCTCTCTCAGGAAATATATTATTGCTGTTGGAGGAGTTGAGGTTGGTTGGCTCGCCCAGCTGGTTTGTTGTTCCGCAGACGTTTCGTTACCGTGCTTGGTAACATCCTCAGTGCAGCCTCTGATGAAGCGTCGGTGTGTTTTCCCGCCTGGTTTTTAAACTCTGGGGTCCGTTGCG